GTGGGGAATTTTACGTGTCAGCGTGTGGGAGGGAAGACTGGAGGCCACTGAGGAAATTATCAGTTATTAAATATGAAACTCAGGGGAATTCAGTAGTTGATATATATTCGTTACGTATATAAGTAACTATTTTCTTTACTGACGTCGTAAAGAGGTTTGTAGGATTTGAGCATATTGTCTATCAATATTGACCAAACACTCTTACAGAATATAAAGGAAAAAATGTAAGCAAGTGGGGCATCAGTTGTTTTGCCTGTTGTTCCACCTCTCTCTTCTTCTCCTAGTAACCTTTTATTAAATCATCATCATCACCCGACAAGCAGAAGCCCTTGACCTCTCGAACTCTAGACCTTGGGTAGGTAATCGAGTTTTTGTTGCATATAGAGATGGAAAGATGCACTTAAGTTTGCAGTAGACTGTCTACATCTTCCAATTGTTTCTTTTCTTTAATTTAATTTTTATTTTCTTCTGATATTGCAGATATAAATCTATAGTTAACAAACCAATCAACGGCATAGATAATAGACTGTACTCGTATATATAGATACTCAACAATTGATATAAAACTGAGTAGACGCAAAATTAATAAAATCTCGTTATATTTGTCGACATTTTATTTTAAGTTTTTACAGAATTTGAATGGTCGAGAAATTCACGGCTTATATGGAATCCAAAGTCCGTTGTCGTGTTCACAAAAGCTAGCAGCTGGAACCTTTCCTGATCCAATTGAATCCAGGCTATACCACTACATTATCTACTTTGTCTGCTCTTCTGCTCCTAAGTGTCCCAAATGCTCTACTTATTACAAATTGTCCGATAAATATTCAGTAGACATTTATAAGCTATGTGACGCGCCCATCATATTCTTCTGAACAGGACGGCCATGATAATATTAACTGAATAGTACAGACCATATAGTTCAACATTACAATAATTTCCACCCTCTTATTAAGAAAACATACTGTGAACCTGCAGAAATTTCTTCAAAACAGAAGTTTCGGGCTCAGTGAAATCGACATTTCTCAATTTTTAGCCCACTTTCCTTACTTTCAAAATTATTGAGAGAAAGCTTGTGCGATTACTATGCTGCCATGTATCTTCATATTCTCCTTGTTAACTTTTCGATGCCTGAACAAATCTTCATGAAACTTGGCAGCCGAGGCCATATCAGCGGCTTACTTCACAAATCCCTCGCATCAGTCTGTATGCCTGAATGTGTATCGCCATCGTTGCTAGGTAACGAATACGCACACAACAATAAAATAATTGTTGAACTTGAAGAAAGCAGTCTTCTGGGATTTGGCACCGTGTATATGTGGTGTTAACCGACGTTTCGGAGGAACGTATCGCCTCCATATTTTTTCTTCTACCCTGAAGATGGAGGCGATATGTTCCTCCAAAACGTCAGTTAACACCACATATACACGGTGCCAAATCCCAGAAGACTGCTTTCTTCAAGTTCAACAATTATTTTATTGTTGTGTGCGTATTCGTTACCTAGCAACGATGGCGATACACATTCAGGCATACAGACTGATGCGAGGGATTTGTNAACTTGTTTTCTGCTCTGTCCCTGTCGTATCAAAGGAAAGTAGGCTATTAGTTCTTCACAGGACTTATTGTTATTTTGTGAAATGTGGCTAAAATTCTAATTAGTACTGTTTGAGATTATTGTAAAGTGTGATCGAATTTATTAAAACGGAGGAGACCCGTATGAAAGTTTCATCTTTAAATTTAACGTACAAACCAACATCAAATTTTACGTAAATTCAATGAATGAATTTTAAAAACGAAACACCTGTACATACAAAGCAGTAATAGATCTTCACAACAGGTTCACTTAAATAGCTCAAAGGAATATCTATAGGCCTACTCATATAACACATATGGTGCGCCACTCTTGTGCACTTCTAGTAATGAGCTAATGTGTACGTAGAAAAATAGACCTAAATGTTGCCAGGGAAATAACACATTTTCTAAAGGTCATTGTCAAGTGCTTGCTTTGAGAGACAAGCAATCAGTACCAGACTCTACGGAAATGTCATTCCCAGCACTCAGGCCGCGATCGTGGCAAAGGTTTAGTGCCAATGAATGTACGCTTTCTGCTTGAGGCAAATGGAGCCACGAAAATTCTGAAAGTTGATTCCAGTGTTTACAATAGCCATATATGTCGGCTGGGAAGCAGAGAGAAATGCATTACGTCATGGCTTATAAATAAAGTAATTATTTCTATGGCGTTGTACATGAAGTTACAAAGTATGTGTTGACGTCAAGAGGGAATCAGGAAACCTGTATTGTTACACAATCATATGCGGATTCAAAGGCTTATCTGAAGAAAAAAGCAAACAACTTATTCAAGATTTATCTACTTTAAGTCTTGCATAATTCTGCGTATTTTATTAACGTCTGTTTTGCTCTTTCATGGATTAGGTTCTCTTATCTATTACGACTTTTTCTTAGTTTTGAATCGATGAATCTTCTGGCACTATGGAATAATCCTTCTATATTGGATCGGCCCATAGTAATGCTACTGTCATTATAGGCGGGAGCCTCAATAGCTCCGTCGGTATAGAAATGGGCTAAGAACTTGAGGACCTCAGATTCTGGGAAGGGACAAGGCATTTTGCTCTTCTCCACAGAGTCCAGACTATCTCGCCTCCTATCCAGTGAGTACCGGGCGCTCTTTAGTAGAGGTTAAAGCGGCAGAAGCGTGAAGCTGACTATTCACCTCCAATTAGTCTCTAGGTTATGAAAGGTGGAGCTATACCTCCTCTCTCTCTCATATGTCTTCATGGCGTGGTGCTTAATTCATTAAGCACGGAGGAAATTTTAGTGATTGAGGCTAGCTCTTTCTAAGGGACCCAACTGAATAGGTGTTTTCCTTCACTTGAGGAGGGAAACAGATCCAGTTTCCGAAACGACGTGTTTTTATTTGTTATCTTAAAAACCAGGACGATGGATAAAGTCCAAAATCCCAACATATCAGTAGAACTTGTGGTTCAGCATTTTCTTTTCACACAGAGGAGTCACGCAATCCTTTACACTTCTTAGAAATAACCTTCCAGTTCTTTTAAAGAGGTGCACTTAGGATATGATACTTTCTGTTGAATAAAACACTATTGATATGAAATTACTTTAAAACTCTTTCCTTCAGAATTAAAAAGGTCATTCCACCTTCCGTTTCTATTCCAATTTACAGATAATTACAACAGTTACAAAGCAAAAGCACAAAGTAGAGTTTCAACTACAATACTGTAAATTTGTTCCTTATATTGAAGTTCTGGAAAGATTTCAAACACTAAGAGAGAAAGAAAAGATGCTGTTTTCAACAAACAGTTTAGAGAATAAGCTACAATTTGTAATGCAAATATCTGGTCAGATTTTCATCCTTTCTGCCTTATAGAGTTAGGGTTCTGTCTCATCATTCCCCAACCGAAATGGGAATGAAGAAAGCAGTCTTCTGGGATTTGGCACCGTGTATAAGTGGTGTTAACCGACGTTTCGGAGGAACGTATCGCGATACGTTCCTCCGAAACGTCGGTTAACACCACTTATACACGGTGCCAAATCCCAGAAGACTGCTTTCTTCATAGTCACCGCCGTGAAAGCCTCAAATCTTACGAAATGGGAATATTTAGAAAATATAAATAAATTTAATTATGAAAGCATAAACGTAATATTTTTTAGTGTTACTAGAGTTACTTGAAGCGAACTGTCTTCTAATACAGGAGAATTTAAGTGATGTTTCAAATCCTCATCATCTTATTCATGTAGGAAAGTGAACTTTTCACCTTCAGTGTAATCCAATTTGTGGCACACACTATGACAATTAAGTGAGAGCACTTTTTGGCTACAAATATTATTCAGTAAAATCTCTTTATACTCCTAGGGTCTGAGGTTCTCACACCGGTGGTTACGAAGAGTTATTTCTTCTACGATACAAAGTCTGCATAATTCTGTTGCATATCATCAACGTTTCGGAGAAACAAGACATCTTCATCTGCAAGGTCGAAGCTTGCTGCTTGCTTCACGCTTTTTCTTCGATTGGCTTACTCTTCGATCTTGAAGATGGGAGCGACATGTTTCTCTGAAACGTCCGATGATATTCAACACACTACGCAGCATTAATCCCTGCAGACAAAAATCTCTTTATACTTCTCTGAAAAGTCAGTACACTGCCTGTTATAATACGGTTGTAAAAGCAGAATTTATGCTACCATTAATATGCATGAATATGCGCCTTTCATATTTAAATAGATTTGTTTCTAAAGCGCGCTAACTCTTCAGGAACAAAATATATACATACTTCCAAATATTTTTTCTGCGGAAAAAAATCATTGCGAATGAAGTTTTAAAAATATAAGAATCTGAAAAAATTGTTCATGAAGGAGATTTCTTAACACGCTCAATTGCAATCACTAAATATTTTGTACGAACAAGATAACACTATAAAATGAAAGTCAAATTATGTCTGTTTTTTCTTTGGTAAATTTTGTAATGTTAGAATAATGTTCATTTTAACCTCAAATGGATCCACAAGTATAACACATATGCCTAGTAGAGTTATGAGGTATTAAAATAATTCTGATAAAATGCAAATATATATTCTTATATCAAGATTTTATTCGTTTCATATTTTATTTTGTAGTAACATAAAATGAAAGCAAGTTTATCGCAGTTCCACGATATTCTAACCATGCTTTAACATATATGGCGTCTTCACAAGATGGCTTGAGGACAACAGTTGATTTGATCAGTCTTCAGCTTTCGGACTAGCTTATTCTTGTAGGATTAGAAAGATGGATAATATGTTAATTGTTGTAAATGTATCACTTTTAATAATTCATCTTAGACGCAGTAAAAAATTACAGTAGCAAAGAACGCCCAATTCATTATTTTTTAAATACATCGTGTGTTAAACTGTATCTCAAAAATATAAAATACGACTTAATATTTGTTTAAAATCATTCATAACATGAAAATAATAATTGCAGATACAGTAAAAATTATTTCAAATTTAATTTTAAAGTTTACTTCTATAATTCTATTTTCGCTGAATTGGGACAACTCAGAATCATTATAAAAGAGAGACGTAAAAGACAATTTGCTCGAACTAAGCTAAAAGAGCAACCCCGATGATAATTTCTCACTTCGGGCACAAATCACAGAAAATGATAGGAAGACACGTCTTTGCGCGGCTCTTGGCCGTACACAGTGTTCTTTCTGTCAAATTGTAACCCCTCTACTAATATTAATATACTGTGGATGGAAATAATTTATAGCCTCAAAAAATAATCTTTAACGTGTGTGCAGTCTAAATATTTTCAGTGTGATGTTCTTCCCATTGTGTGCGGATTGGTGTCGTTAGCCTGTCTGATGATAATAAAACGTCTATAGAGTTAAAATATTACAGTGGCGACTGGTGAGTGTCTACAGATCTTGGGCTAGCATCACTGAATATGTCAAAAGAGAGAATTTCTTATATGCATTTACATGAAACCGTATGTTACAACCACACAGCGCAGGTTATAATACTCGGAAATTCTTCTCTGTCACTTTACTGACACATTAGAGCTTATCACGCATACTCTGTGGCGCCCAAAACAGTCATCTGTGAGAGAGCTAGTGTCGTATTCAGTTCGCAAATATTATTGCGTCACTACCGGAAGATGCACTGGACTGACTGGAAGAACGGGATCCACCTGCTCCACTAAACGAATCAGAGGAAGACTGGCTTTTAGAATGGCTACCGCCACCAAATGCACCGGAAGATGATGAAGCATTGCTCTTAGATCCACTGGATGATCCGCCAAAACCACCGGAACTAGAAACAGATGAAGACTGGCTCTGTGACTTACTTGCAGAACTACCGAAACCTCCAGTGAATGAAGATCCAGACTGACTGTTAGAATTACTGTGGGAACCGCCACCGCCACCACCTCCAAAGATTTCAGCAATAGCTGCGTCATCACCAGAATTTCCGAATCCGCCATGAAGACTGCTACCAAATTCTACACCACTAGAATGGCTTGCAGCATTACTGGCTGCTTGTGAATTGCTTCTACTTGGCCCAAACCCTCCTAATCCACCGCCTGATTGGCTTGCAGCATTACTGGCTGCTTGTGAATTGCTTCCACTTGGCCCAAACCCTCCTAATCCACCGCCTGATTGGCTTGCAGCATTACTGGCTGCTTGTGAATTGCTTCCACTTGGCCCAAACCCTCCTAATCCACCGCCTGATTGGCTTGCAGCATTACTGGCTGCTTGTGAATTGCTTCCACTTGGCCCAAACCCTCCTAATCCACCGCCTGATTGGCTTGCAGCATTACTGGCTGCTTGAGAATTGCTTCCACTTGGATAGAAACCGCCGAATCCACCAACAGACTGACTGCCTGAGTTACTAGAAGAACTGGACTGACTTCCCCCTGATGAACCTCCAAAGCTGCCGCCCAGTCCTTGATTAAAACCTCCAGCAAATCCATGATTGACACCACCAGAACCCCCGCCGAATCCATGAGAACTACTGAAATCGCCACCTCCATTGAACCCATGTCCCTGATTAAATCCACCTGCTTGACTGGCAGCATTGCTGCTAGCTCCGGATTGTCCTCCAAGGGTTCCACCACCTCCCGGCCCAAATCCTCCACCGCCGTAGGCGCCAAACTGGCCGTGTAATCCTCCATTGGCTTGGTTTGCGAACTGATGATGTTTGTGGTGATGCTTTTCTAAAAATGGGCGACCGAAACCCGGTGGAGCGCCGAAACCCTGTCCGCCACTGAATCCCCTCTCGTAATTGGTGTACGCGCTGCTTTGGGCTCCAGATGAAGATCCTGCATAACCGTCGCCGACGCCGACGCCGACGCCGCCGCCTCCAAAAGAGTTGGAACCTGCATTCGATGCTGAAGAACTAAGTCCCCCATTACCGCCTCCATAAGCCTGTGAGGCGGCATTAGAAGAGGCTCCACTGTTAATAGATCCACTGTTACCAAATGAATTTGAATGAGCATTTGATGCTGCAGAGCTTCCACTGCCGCCCCAACCACCACTGCTTCCAGAATTAGCGCTGGATGCAGCACTGGAGGACGCGGAAGTTCCTGCAGCGCCTCTACCATGGGAACCGGCGTTGGCCGAAGCCGTGTCAACGTTGAACTTGAGGAGTCCGAGAGGTCCTGTGAACTCTAGGTGTGAGGTGTGGGAGTCGGAACTGGAACTGGATCCGCCGCCACTGTGGCCCAGAGGATTCAGGATCTTCCGCAGCCCACCGAGGAGACCACCTCCGTCCAGTAGTGACCTCAATTGCCGCCCTGAAATCAGAAAGAAAGGATGTATGAATGTTACGGTTCTTCGAATTCGACAAGAGAGAGGAATGCAACTTATAAATAGTGATTTATCGGGGCCATATCGGGCTGTAAGCGCTTGGACTCATTTCTTAAAAGTGACTAAGTTAATTGTGTTAAATATTTCACGTTTTTCCGAAAGAGGATCTGGGTAGTGGCCCTTTCGGTTTAATCATTACATAGACTGTGCAGGAAGAATAATTACCGAAATCAATTGTTCTTTCAAATGTTATAAAGCTTCCTTGGGCCCATAACAAGCGCTATGTTATTTACGGAAGAGGTCACGGCCTATATAACGTATCTTAGATCAACAGGGACCTCAATTTCACGTGATGCACCCAGTTATTATTAACGAGTTTCAAAAAATAGTGGTCATTTATGTAATTTTGTGTGATTTATTCAATGACACTTTCAGTTTATGAAGATTATAATATAGACAACATATCTTCTCAAGATCCGTAATTTTTATTTTAAATATTTCTAAATTCCTCACGTAATTTCAGAGAAAAATAAAGTTTGTGTCTGTATATGTTCTAATACAGTTCTCTTAATTACATTCGCTATCGCTGCGGTGCAGTAAGCTGCTTCCTCTCTAAGCAAGGAACCCTTTTCTGCAACACGCACTAGTGTTAGCCCTCGTTGCGCTAGCTCTTAGTGCCGCTTGTGAGCACTCATTTTTCCAAACAGGTTTTCACACATAATATTTGTAAATTTTTTTTTTTGTGCAAAGTTTAATAACGCTTGCAAAAATGTCCCCGAAGAAAAAGCCGCAAAAAGACAGCCATAAGAGAATAAAAATAACCGTAGAAATGAAACGTAAAATCATTGAAAAGCGACAACGAGGTGTGAGCATGGCTGATCTAGCACGTACATACAGTCGGTCTACATCAACGATTTGGAGTTGCAGTCTGTTTCACAGCAAGAAGTTGTGGAGGAGAGTTTGTCAGAGGAGGAGGAGGAGGAGGAGGAGGAGGAGGTAACGCGCAATAAAAGAAATGCTGAAAGCATGGGAAACTGTTGCACCGTACATTGAGAAGCATCACCCTAATAAGGCAGTGGCTATGTGCGCTACAAATTTATTTAATGATAATGCTATGCCGCATTTTCACCAACTTTTGAAGCGTCGGCAAAAACAAATGTCTCTACACAGCTTTCTAGTAAAAAAGAATTAGATATGTATCATAAATAATAAAGTAATTATTTCGATTTTTTTTTGTTTTCTGCAAATCGAATTCGCATTCCAGGTTGGTTCCGCATGGAAGAAAAGATGAAGACGATTCACGCTCCTTAACAATGCATATATAATTTTCTTTGAATAAACGTTATACACAAAATTTTTTGAGTGTTTTTTTCGGCATGGAACGCATTATCGTATTTTACATTAATTTATATGGGAAAAATTGTTTCGCTTAACGAGTGTTTCGCATTACGAGTAAGATTCTGGAACGAATTATGCTCGTTAAGCGAGGTTCCACTGTACGTACAGAATAACGGTATTTCAGAAACCACCTATTCCTATTCACTGCCGCTAAAAACGCAGAAATCCATTAAAACTTCCAGTTAGAATTCATACACGATAACAGTACTGCCTTATATCTTTCTTATATATAATGTGCATGAGAAAGTAGAACATAATGGCAACCCGATTAGCCTGCTAAGTCTAGACAAATTTCCTGAAGAATTCGTGCTAAGGTTTTTAACCTCTTTTACCGACCTAGACCGCGTAACCTTCTTCGATGACGTCATCAGTGACGCCATTAACAGTAGGGAATTACACTGTGAAGTCAGACACTTAGCTTCTTGCAGGACATTTTTTATCGTAGAGACGTTACTTTTTTCACGGTAGCTTACGAAGCCAGTTGTGACATGCTCCGAACAGTTAGATCAAATGACACGAGGTGGCAGGACAGATTTCTTTTCATTGATAGCACCACATGCCTGGGCCGATTTACCGGTTTCAGAGTGGCTTAACTCTGAAACCGGTAAATCGGCCCAGGCATGTGGTGCTATCTATGAAAAGAAATCTGTCCTGCCACCTCGTGTCATTTGATCTAACTGTTCGGAGCATGTCACAACTGGCTTCGNTAGTTGAATGAATTGAACGGCGATAAGTAGGAGGATAATGAATTGGTTAAGACGTGAAAGCAAGTAATAGCGACTCGCTTTCGAGGCAGTTTCCCAGCTCCTGCTTGATGGAGTTCAGGAAATCCGCCAAAAAAAGTCTCAGAATAGCCGGTTTGTGGGTTAAAATTCGAATCCAAGACCTCGCAAGAACAAATGGTAGTTGCTAATTTCTCAACCTCGACTCGATCTCATAGTTACTTTATTTATTAATTCTTATGTGTAGTTTATTTCAGGACTCTGTCGGCAACTCAGGCTTCCTAGCGTCTACTGATAGGATGAGTGGTGAATAACGAATTGGAAGCATTTCGAAAGCATAGGTCCTGGCCTAATGTAACCAGCAGAGAGAGTGAGGAAAACCACGAAATATTTCATTCAGGATACTCGGTGTTCCAAGCAAGATTCGAAAAAACATCTCCCTAATACAAGCCAGAATCTTTACTACTTGAGCCAAATTGCTCAGTCCCTTGAGACTTATACTTACTAACTCATGGAGCTGAGCCTTCTTGAGGAGCCGCAAATTCTGCAGCTACTCAAGCATTTCCCAGCATTTTATGGAACCCGAAAGTTCATTACCGTGTTCAAAAGAGCCCTCCACTGGTCCATATCCTGAGCCGTATCAATGCAATCCACACCATCCCATTCTATTTCTCTAAGATCCATTTGAATATTGTCCACCCACCTACGCCTTGGGCTTGCCAGTAGTCTCTTTCCTTCTGTCTTTCCCATCAATATCCTATATGCATTATTCTTCTCCCCCATTCGTGCTACATGCCCTGTCCACATCATCCTCCTTGACTTGATCATTCTAATTATAATTGGAGAAGAGTACAAGTTACGAAGCTCTTCATTATGCAGTTTCTCCAACCTCCTGTCACTTCCTTAAGACTTATAAAAGTAAAAAGTAAAGTAAACCTATCCCTGTAATAGGCCGGGAAGGCCCATAGGGTTGTGAGACGTTGAGGGTCCCACATTATCTAGACAATCGGCTCAAAGATGGCGGTAAGGTTGTAAGCCTTACGTGCCGGCCGCACTTTACTCCCCAGGAAAATTATTTAATTAATTCCTGGTACTCATTTCTGTTAGAGGCTGAGTCGACCCCAGGGCCATAGTGCGGCTGGAAGGATTAGGTCAATTGAAAAAATTTCAAAGACCTCATCGGGACTTGAACCCGCGACCTTCCGGCTTATAGCATAGCCCCTCAACCAACTACGCTACCGCGTACCACCCCTTCAGACTTATACTAGCGCATTTTGTTCTGTGACAAAATATGAATAATGGACAACTTCTCAGATGCACTGAATACTACATGCTTCCAGTTCTTTTGTTTCAGTTCGTCTGATACCTGCCTTCCGATTCAACAGTACTTGGGGGTGGGAGGGATACAATATTGCGGAAATTACGAATGATTTAATCTTACATTATCCATTCATTAATTCTGACCCTCCTTAGCGCGTAATTATGAAAATATATGGGCCTACAGTTTATGCTTAACAGCAGCCCACTAATTGCTAATAACGAGACAACAACAACAACAACTTTAGGAAGTGAATACGACATGCACATTAACTGAAAGTGTTTCGTTACAATTATGAGCCTATTTTTTCTTTCGGGAAAGGAAGCATGCTTATACGATCACCATGCTGTCTGTTGCACCTGTCTACGTGTCGCACATTTCAAATTTTACAGCAATTTACCGATCTTCGTACAATTTGGCTAGGATAACATGTCATTGCCGGTCCCAGTGGTGGCACGGTATGAGGCATGAAGTGTCTTCACCAGCTGAAACACTGGCATTGTAGGTTCGAATCCCACTTGAAGTATGGATGTCTGTGTGCGTTTGTTCTATGTTTATGCTATCCTGTGTGCAGGTAGAGACCTTGCGACGGGCTGATCCCCAGTTCAAGGAGACCTACCGACTGTGTAGAGGATTGAGAAACTGGAAAACGACGAAGTCTAACACAGGACTGTGGAGCCATAGATGGATAATTGTTACGCTATTGGAGGCCAATCCGAAATAATGTTTTTAATTTCCTACAACGGTGAACGCACGGACTTGTGAGGTGAGAGACTCACTAGTGCAACTTAGAGTCTTGAAATCAGGAAAAGGTCTTAAGCTGAGGCAGTTAATTTGTACAATGTAAAGGAACGAAACAGCCGCTGTATGGAACATCAGACTATTTATCCTTGAGACTGAAGGCGATAACTGCCATAGTGAATCAGTGGAGCGCCGTTTGTGAAATTTGTCAGGGTGAGATATCACACATGCTTAAAACTACAAATTATTTATGAAATATTGTTTGTCATCAAATACAAACATGGTGATGTTACAAAATTTTTCAGCTCACGACTGACAAACTTATTATAGACAAAATATATAAGTAATAATTTTCCCTAATATTAACAATAATAATAATAATAAGAAGAAAGAAATNCTCGCTGTCACATTGTGGCTTTGTCTGTGTGTGTTCGTTTCTGTATCTTTATTCATGCTCACTTTGTAATTAATATAGACTATCATATTTTGTATTGTGCTTTTTTAATTACTTTTGTGTATTTCTCTCTATTCTTACTAACTTTGTAATTGACCTCTCTGCTGTTAAGTTTGCACGTAAATAAACACGAATTGAATTGTATTGAATTATTATCCCTCATGTGTTTAAAGTGACAAGTAGTACAAATTGATGGTTCCTTGCATTCCATCTATGACCATCTGCGCATAAATCCATCATGCCAGCCTATGAATTGGACTGAATTTTGTTCGTCATTGTAAATCACATATTATAAGAAGGCATAAACAATACAAGATTTGTAGCATAGAAATGTGTAATAGGAACGCAAGCTGTGGGAGCTGTAACCGGGACTCCTTGTGGTTAAGAAGTTGGTTTTCATTTGTTGTGTCCACAAACCATGTCCTTACTTTAGTAAGCAAAAAATAAACGAGTAAGGAAAAGAATGACCATGTAATTGAGTAATTAACTTATCAGCTGGGTAACTAATACTCCATCCTTTAAACTTAGCTTGTAAAAGGTGCTAAAATTATCTAATAAACTAACATATTAAGCAGGCTAAATAATTCAGGAACAAACCAATTTATTAAATAAGAGTGTGACTTCCTGTCTGCCTGCCTAAAGGCCGAGTGACTAAGTAACCGAAAGACTGACTGAAAGTAACTAGAACAGTAACCCTCCGGTAGCGGGCAATACAAGTATATCCATACGCTCAAGCCCCATTCCACTGCGTATGATTCTAAACCAGTTCCATCCACCTGGCATCCTTACAAGCCATATCCTTATAATTCACCTTAATACTCTCTCGTTATCTATCCCGTGGTCCAACAAGTGAGCTTTTCCGCCCAGATTTCCGGATCAAAATTCTATATGCATTGCTTATTTCCCCAACCCAGGTGTATGTCGGAATAATCCTTATTGTTTTCTTAGGCCCCTCAGCGACTTTTTCAGCATCGACATTACATCGCATCGCATGGGTATTAGAATCATTGAATCAAGAATGATTAGTGGGGGGGGG